TTGAGCTCACTTTGTAGCCCAGGCTGGTCTCAAACTTGCAACGATCCTCCTGCCTCAGCCTCCCGAGTGCTGGGATTACAGGCATGTGCCACCATAACTGGCCAGAATAATTGTTAATTGAATAAGTGAAATCATAAACAGTGCATTTATCTTGAGGTGAAATCATGAACAATTATTTATCTCAGTAATGCATTCTTGATTATTTTAACTTGCAGATAGGTTGACCACTGCTTTGTCTGCTTTTAGCAGTAAATACTGAGAGAAATCTGTAAATCCTAGTCATCGAGATGCTTTTCTGTCCTGGTCCTTCTAACCACCTTCTAAAAGGTGAGAAAGACAGAAGTTTTCATACATGGTGATGAGCAGGCCCTGCCAGCCTTATGGATTCCTTCTCTGTTGTAATCCAACAGGTGTGAAGTTAAGAATTAGGAGGGATTTGCTCTCTGGGGAACAGAGAGCTCTAGCAGCTGGAACTGTGATCTACTTCTGGCACAAGTCTTTCCTTTGGTCTGTGAAACTACCCGGCTTGTCGAGTTGGTTGGAGCTTGGTTAAGGTAGATCATCTGTATGCAGCAGAATGACTGTACCTCTTCCAAATGACAGTTCAGTTCACTGCAGCAGAGTAGAGACCTCACAGGAAGACTTAGTCTCAGCATGCCGAAAACTGGTACTTAACTCTGCTACCAGGATAAAAACCATTTTAGGCAAATGTAGGGTGCTGTCTTATGTTAGGGCTGACTCGCACTGGTTCTCTTCACTGGACGTGTGGGAAGCATATGATCACATTCTTTCCTTGCTGTCTGGACGTTTCTGCTTATTTCTGAAGTTTCTCCTAAAAAAAAAGCCTAATCTTTTCTCAGCTCCACAGAGACCCATTTCAACACAGAGAACTACTTCGACTCCTAAGGCTGGCCCAGGGGTGGTACGGAAGAATCCTGGTGTGGGCAACGGGGATGATGAGGCGGCTGAACTGATGCAGCAGGTAGGCACCTTCTGTGTTTAGGGTTAGAATCATTGGGGCTTTCCTGGCTGCAGAGACTAGGGGAGGCCCGTTCTTCTTGTAGAGGAAGACCGGCATTGTTTGCAGGCTAGAGCAGTCCTTGAAACTTCTGTGAGCGTTTGTCTTGCCACCCCTTGACAGCAGTGTGGTTGGGAGAGTTGCGGGTAGGGGAGGAGGACGGGTCAGGCTCTTCTGCCTCAATTGATGGATACCTGTGTCTGCAAATCAACCTTAAAACAGAACCTTGTGGGTGCTCTTAGGATTCTCTGGAATTCAGGGTAAAGGCTAAAGGAGCTTCTTCGTGGAGATTGAAATTGAGAGTGGACTGGTATGAAAGGCCTACTGCTCTTTTGGTTCTGTTCTTAGTAGTTCAGGGATTTGAAATGCCTTCAGGATTAAACATCCTTAAGGTACTTATCAGAGGCCTCTCTGGCTCAGAACAATCTTTACACTTTTAAACATTTTCCTTACTGGTCCTTCTAATTCCTTTGTTTGCTTTTGGAAGACTCTTTTGACCTAGTCACTGTATGGGCAGTGTTAAGGAAGTATAGGAGATTTCCTCTCTCTGGTTTTTTTTTTTTTTTTGTCTTTTTTGAGATAGGGTCTCGCTCTGCAGTTCAGGCTGCCCTTGAGCTCACTTTGTAGCCTAGGCTGGTCTCAAACTTGGAACAATCCTCCTGCCTCAGCCTCCCGAGTGCTGGGATTACAGGCGTGCGCCACCGTGCCTGGCCCCCTCTATCTGTTTAGAGGCATGGATATACAGAGGAGACAGTTTTGGAGAAAAATACGAGGATAAGGAGTGGTCAGTGTGAAATGAGGTGACCAGCAAGTTGGTCCTGTGCTCTCCAGTGAGTAGCTGCACCAGATTCTCTTGGATTGTTGCTGTTGGCTCACCAGTCCCCTGTTGGGTAAAGCATGGGTCTTGGAACATAGGTCTGGAGGAGAAGTGAGACTGATTCTGTCATTATGTCTCCCTGGGACAAGTCAGCCTCTGGGAATTATTTCTTTTCTTCGTTCTTTTTTTGTTTGAGATGGTCTTGCTATATAATTCAGGCTGGCCTTAACCCTAGACTGGCCTGGAATTCATGGTGATCCTCCTGCCTTACTCAGCCTCTGGAGTGCTGGAATTATAGGCATGTGCCGCTCAAGTGCGTAGATTAAAGTAGGTTCTGTGGTGTTCTGTAAAAGTTCACAGGAACCAGACTGTTTGGGCTCATACATGAAATAGCATGAGTGAATGTTCACAATAAATGACACCTAACTTCATAGAATGCTGTGTGGCAACCCTTGGGCTTTACAGATATGAGCAGTGTTCTTTGGAGAGGTCAATCAACCTGAGTGAGAATTTAAACCCAGGTATGTCTGAGTTGAGAGCCAAGGTCAGTTAGTAACTGCTCCTTGAGAAATTGAGGAAGTTGCTTCTTTCTTGTACCACTGGAGATTGTAATTACTCACCACAGTTATTCTGGGCAAATTGCTGCTAAAGCATTGGAGAGAATTCGAAGGCTTGAAAGACTTGGCCTAGGCTTAGAAGTGGTTTTTTTTTTTTTTTTTTGTCTTTTTGAGACAGGGTCTCGCTGTGCAATTCAGGCTGGCCGTGAGCTCACTTTGTAGCCCAGGCTAGTCTCTAACTCGCAATGATCCTCCTGCCTCAGCCTCCTGAGTACTGGGATTACAGGTGTGTGCCACCACGGCTGGCGCAAGAAGTGGTTTCTGATATGGCTGGAGAAGATTACTTAGCCTATGACCAAATCCCGAATGAAGTTTATGGGAAGCCAGACCACAGTCTTTTAGGGGTGGGTGTGGGATCTGGGAAGGCTTCCTTCCAGATCAGAATCTGCTGGTTTGGATGGCCAGTACAGTGGAGCTTGAGTAGCTGAAGTAGGGAAGGGTTGTGCTCTTTTTTTTTTTTTGGTCTTTTTGAGACAGGGTCTTGCTGTAAAGTTCAAGGTGGCCTTGAGCTCACTTTGTAGCCCAGGCTGGTCTCGAACTCACACTGATCTTCCTGCCTCAGCCTCCCGAGTACTGGGATTACAGGCGTGCTCCACTACACCTGGTGGGTTGTGCTCTTGAAGACATGGTTGGAAACCCTGTGTGTGTCTCCATCCACACTGTAGAATGCAGGAGGCTAAGGATTCAGAGGCTGAGGAACATTCACTGTTCTGAAAGACTGACCAGACACACATCCAGTTGGTCCATTTTTACCACAGAAGTACTTAGTCTTGCACTTTTTTTTTTTTTTGGTGGTACTGGGGATTAAACCTAGGGCTTTTGCCCTGAATTACACCCCAACCCTTTTTTTTACTTTTTATTTTGAGATTGGGTCTCACCAAGTTGCTAAGGTGCGTAGGCTGGGCTTGCAATCAATCCTCTTGTGTCAGCCTCTTAGAGTGCTGGTATGACAGGTGTGTGCGCTACTGTGTTCAACTTTTTTCCTCCCTACCTTAATTGATTGGTGTGAAAGACTTCAGGGCTACTCTAGGGTGCCAGAGTCCTTCGTGCAGCCTGTTACTGACTCTCTCAGTTCATTGACATGATTTGTCTGTCCTTCTTGAAAGCGTTTGAATTTGTAGCCCCTAATAAATGTGGGAAATGGAGCCAAATGGTTATTAAGCTAAGAGAACAAAACTGTATTCTACCAAAATTACTTTGTAGTATTCAGTCCTGGAGAAATTTACTTTAAATGAGATGTTTTGCATTTTGAAGACTGTACTCAGTCTGTAAATGTGGATTGTATGTTAGTACTTACAGCTCGTTCTGGGGGTGGTGGTGCATGCCTGTGATCCCAGCACTCTACCAGTGGGCCACAGCCTCAACTCTGATTGCTTTTTGACTAGATTGTAGGAGGGAGCTTTCTTCCATCCTACATCCTACAGGGGGCTGATTTCTCTTGTGTTGGGTCTTCATCTGGGAGAAGAACTCTTCTTCAGGGGGAGATGCATAACTCACTGCTGCTGTTTTTGAAGGTGTATGTTCAGAAGGTTGGACTAGATTTCTGTGGGGCTTTCTGGTGCTCTCAGACTTCCCTGCCAGAATTGTTCTTAGCACTGCATTTTTGATTTCTTTTGGCTTTCCATGCTTTTGTCCTAGTCTATAAATTTAGGATTTTGAGGGTATGCCATGCAGTTTGCATTCAGTGAGAGTTTCACTGAATTTTTTCATCATAGATTTGAATACACTCAAAGACAAAAAGTGTTTGAATACATAAAGGACTTTTGTTCTTGGCTAGGTTTCTTATCTAAGTACTGAGATTTATTAATATCCTCTTTTTAAAAGCCGGGCATGGTGATGCATGCCTGTAATCCCAGCACTCGGGAGGCTGAGGCAGGAGGATTTGTTGGAGTTTGAGACCAGCCTGGGCTACAAAGTGAGCTCAAGGCCAGCCTGAACTGCATAGCGAGACTCTGTCTCAAAAAAAAAAAAAAAAAAAAAAAAAGCCTCTTTTTGCAAATCAGAGCACCTCCAGGATCAGACCCTCCCTTTTCACTGACTTTTACATATAACCAGAGTTGGACTTGACAGTCCCCCTGGTAGGGACTCAATTTATGATTGTCTTTTAACTGTGCTGTGCTCGGTTGTGGATTATATTCTTGTATTTGTCTGTGGGTTCTACTTCTATACAGTATTTGTCTCAGGCTTCCTTAGTTTTTTCTTCTTGATCTGTTCTCAGTTCCTGAGAGGGTACTACATGTCTCAGAGTGGTCTTGTAGTCTGTCCATTCTTGGGAGCTGTTATCGTCAAGGCTACCTTGAACAACAAGTACATATTGTTTATCTGGAGCTGAAGAAAACTGACATTAAATTGAACTGAGTTTTGTCTGTGTTCAGTTTTATTAAAGACCACATCACCTCTGGGGTTAGAAGTTTGTGTAATATTTTATTGGTACATTAATGCTAAGTGTGTCACCCTTTTTAATATCTTGTATAGGTCAATGTATTGAAACTTACTGTTGAAGACTTGGAGAAAGAAAGAGATTTCTACTTTGGAAAGCTAAGGAACATTGAGTTGATTTGCCAGGAGAATGAGGGGGAAAACGACCCTGTATTGCAGAGGATTGTAGACATTCTGTATGCCACAGATGTAAGTGTTGACATAAAGATACTTTCTTTCCATTTTGCTTCTTGAGAGAAAATAAGCTTAATCTAGTTGATTTCAGTAAACTGTTGATGCTTGTATGCTTGTATTTGTCTGTCCTTCTTGAAAGCGTTTGAATTTGTAGCCCCTAATAAATGTGGGAAATGGAGCCAAATAGTTATTAAGCTAAGAGAACAAAACTGTATTCTACCAAAATTACTTTGTAGTATTCAGTCCTGGAGAAATTTACTTTAAATGAGATGTTTTGCATTTTGAAGACTGTACTCAGTCTGTAAGTGTGGATTGTATGTTAGTACTTACAGCCCGTTCCAGCCGAACTTCATTCTCTGACTTGAGGTTTGTGACCCTTTGAGGAAGGAATGGGGCAAAGAGGTGGCTGGTTTGCCCAACTTTTGTAGTGTGTAGCCACTGATAGCTACAAACTTAGCTAGAAGAATCCTTCGTCCCCATCCCACCCGCTACAGCTTGGACCCCCTCAGCTAACAAGTCCCTAGTCCATTTATCTGGAGTCCAAGCATGTCCCTGCTCCTTTTTTGATGTCTGCTGCCCTTACTGTCAAAGAGTGTACCTTTGCTTCTCCCTCCTAGGAGATTACGTATTCCCTCAGAGTACTTTGTGTTCAGATTTCTTTGCACCCATGTTTATTGCACAGCTGTATCTACTGTTACTAATCATGCCATGTTATCTGATTAGGGAAAACTAAGTTTTCTAGGTTTAGAAGTTGATAGCTAGTTTATGTCAACTATGCAGTTGTTGTATTTATAATTATGCATGCCTAGCATGTTCTGTAGGCTCAAACTATCTGTACTATGTGTAATACTACATAAACTAATAATAATGCTACCTCTGATGAAGGTAGATGACTGAAAATCTGGTAAATTTATTAAGTAAATCTTTAGGACTTGTTCCTGTGCTAGACAGTGAAAATAAAGATGAAGATACAGGAGTCCCTGGTCTAGTCTGAGTTATTATTTTGATGGAGGCACATTTTATTTTATTTATTTATTTATTTTTTTCTTTTTGAGACAGGGTCTTGCTATGCAGTTCAGGCTGGCCTTGAGCTCACTTTGTAGCCCAGGCTGGCTGGAGGCACATTTTAAATAAACATTAGAGGCTTAGTTAAAAACAAAATAAGATGGTGGTTGAAGGAATGGCATAATTTTCATAATAGAGTAGCGGATCCATTCCCTGCTCTGATCACGTGCAGAATGCCAGGGAGTTAGTATGAAGTAGGAGTCATGACTCTGTTCTTTCCTTGCGTGTTCACTTTTCCCATGTCACTAAATTTGTGTTGGTTTTGACTATTACAGGTATTTTGGTTAAACATGGTTCCTATGTACAACTGAAGGAATGTGTAAAAGAAAAGCTAATAGTTTGAGATTAGATGGTAGATTACGGGACTTTATGGGCAACTAGGGAATTTTGAAGGCAATTTTCTTTCTCTTTTTCTCTCTCTCATTCTTTCTTTTTCTCTCCCTCTCTCTTTCTTTCTGATAGAGTCTCTCTTTGTAGTTCAGGTTGGCCTTGAACTCACAATGTAGCCTAGGCTGGCCTTGATCCTCTTGCCTCAGCCTCAGCCTCCCACATGCTGGGACTGCAGGCATGAGCCACTATGTCTGACTTACTTTCTTTTTAAAAACAGCATTATTAGCTAGATGTGGTGGCACTCACCTGTAATTCCAGCACTGGGGAGGCTGAGGCAAGGGAATCTACCAGTTCAAAGCCATCCTGGGCTATATAGTGAGTTCAAGGCCAGTCTGAGCTGCATAGTGAGACCCTGTCTAAAAAAACCAGTCCAAAACAAATCAACCAAAAAAACTTTATTGAGGTGTAGTTGACATACAGTTGCACACATTTTCTTTCTTTTTTCCTTTTTTGTCTTTTTGAGACAGGGTCTTGATGTGCATTTTGGCTGGCCTTGAGCTCAGTTTGTAGCCCCAGCTGGTCTTGAACTTGCAACGATCCTCCTGCCTCAGCCTCCTTAGTGCTGGGATTACAGGTGTGCATCACCATGCCTGGCTATTTGCACACATTTTAAACGTATATTTGATGATGTGTGAAATAAGACAGCATACACATTCATTGCTTCAAAATTTTGAGGGTGAGCTGGGCGTGGTGACCTGTCTCAAAAAGACAAAAAAAATTTTTTTTTGAGGGTGAATTTAATGTGTTTAGTTTGGCTCTATGTAAGATGTGATTCAACCATCCAGAAATAAAATAATGGTCACTTGGCCTGTGTGATTAAGTACCAAATGTGATAGAGACAAGGTCTGCTTACTTTGAAAGGCTGTAACTATGAGAAAGGTAGAAACCGATCATTCAGTGTTAAGTAACAGCTTTCCCCTCTCACTTCTCCATTTCAGGAAGGCTTTGTGATACCTGATGAAGGGGGCCCACAGGAGGAACAAGAAGAGTATTAACACCATTGACCAGCAGAGCAACATCGGAATTCTTCACTCCAAATCATGTGCTTAACTGTAAAATACTCCCTTTTATTATTCTTAGAGGATTCACTGGTTTCTTTTCATAAGCAAAAAGTACCTCTTTTTAAAAGTGCACTTTGCAGAAGTTTCACTCCTTTTCCAATAAATTTGAGTTAGGAGCTTTTACCTTGTAGCAGAGCAGTATTAACATCTAGGTGGTTCATCTGGGGAACATAGAGGCTGACTG